AGGGTTTGCAAAGGGAAGCAAAGAAAACAAACTACACCAAAACATATTAGGTGGTTGAAATTGATCTTTAGAAATCCTGGTAATCTATTCTAGACAAATGACTGCAAACCAGCAAAGTTAGCCCCCTTCCAACAATATCTTATGCAACTTAATCCACCCTATATGCAAATAAGACAAGACTAAAATATTCAAATTAGATTGGCAGACCCAAAATATCCTCAAACATAGAGGATTGCATTGGGGGAATTGTCTGCTTGATACATGATTGTGAAATTACCATTTATCTTGTTCCACTTCCCGAATTTCATTTGTGAATATCACTTTTGAGTTTCTCATAGATGATTTTACTAATTGTGATATCATTCTAGAAAATGTCTTCGACATCTTATATTTGCCACACATTATAGATAGATTTTCTGTAACACCCCAGCCCAAGATGGGCTGGGTGTCAAAAAAACAAAACAAATAAATAATAACAATAGAAAGAAAAAAAAAAGAAGTTACATAGGTGAACATGCCTCTGCAAGAGGAAGAAGAAGAGGCGGATATGCCTCTGGAATCCAAACAAGATGAAGAGGAGATCTGCATGCCGGAGAAGAAGAAGAGGCGTGCAGAACTCTCCTTTATCCCACCTATAAAAGAGAAGAAGAAGGAATTGGGAGGAGAGAGAAAGAGAGAGGAGAAGAAGAAGGATAAGAAGGAAGAGGAGGGGAAGATGGCAGTGGTGGTGGAATGCCCAGATCCGTTCCCGATCTTCGGTGAAAAAAGAATAGGAAGGGAGGAAGCCGGTGCTGCGTGCGGTGGCGGGATCGGAGAAGAAGACCCGCGGTGGCAGCCTAACATACAGTTTCCCAAATCTTTCCAACTTGATTTTACTCGATCTGCATCGGATCTGAGTGTGTGGTGCGTTCTATGACGTGTTTTAGTTGGTTTGCGACGGCAAATGGTGACTCTGGCGGTGGCGCGTGGCGGTTTCTGATGTCTGCACGTGTAAGCTCCGGTGACAACGTGTTCACGTGGGGTGGTGCCGTTTTCTGATAGTAACACATGATTGAATTTGGCGTTTGAAGATCCTTCTGCAAAGTAGATCTGCGAACGAAAAGCAAGTAAATGTATAAATGCTTACAAATGTAGTTTAATTTATTTAAGAAATTAGAATGATGGCGTCTAATAATTAATAAATTTATTTTTAAATTATAAATTGGTGCAGGATTCCGACGGAATTTTATTATTGATTTTTGTGTTTATGTTTATTATTGAAATTATTGATGTTATACTTTGTTTGGTAACTGAATTCTTATAGGTACTGGTTGTCATGGTATGAACTGTTAGGATATCAAAGATATTTAAAAGACGCTAGTTTGATGAGTAGGTATAGTACGTGTGCTTAGGTACAAGAATAATTAAATAACAAATTTAGAAAATTTATTACTGAATCAAAATAAAAAAAGAATATTAAAAGACTTGAAAAACTTGTTTAATCATTATCAATAAGGGGTGGGTGCATGTGTGTGGCCAATGTGGCGGGTGATTGTGGTGAACTCTATCCGTATATACGGCTTTAGCTAGATATGGCTAAACAATAAGTACTGTATGACTGTGAACTGAACTATGATGTATCCACTTAGTAGAGAAGATTCTTTCTTCCCTTGTTGATACTGACGGAAATTACATCGCGCGATAAAACTATTTTTAAATAAATAGACTGATAGAAATGGATGTGAGTCGTGTGTAAAGTTTGTAATATTGAAATACTGAATTCTGATGTTCGCTGAAATGTTACGTCTTATGAAATACGGAATTATGATGTTCACTGAACTGTTTATGTGTTTGATTATGATACTATGATACTGAATTCTGATGTTTACCAAATTGTTTATACTGAATCATGATCCTTATTGAATGAACTGATTTAGAAGGGTTTAGTGAATGAATTAGGGTGTACATATTACATGTTTTCGGAATTAAAAAGAAAAGTGTTTTTAAATTCTCTCCGTCGATAGTTTTATGTTTTTCTATTAACTTAGATGGATTATCCTATTATTTGTTGGTACTTACACGCTTACTGAGTATATTAAACTCATCCCATTCATTATTCATTTTTTTTCCAAACCAAGACAATCAAAATCCTGCTCCTGAGCAGTAAAAGATTTGCTAGGAGATCGTTTCATTTTATTTTAATTCGAACAGTATTTAAGATTAATTATTTCTTTTATAATAAGTATTTATTTAAACCCACATTGCTCATGGATTTTGGATATTTTTAATTAAGTATGGAAGGGATGTATTTTTATTATTTTAAAATTTGCTGTGCAAAATATTTTTATAAATTATTTTATCATTATATGGTGTGTGTATAGTCAGAATTCTGAATGAGAGTTCGGGTTGTTACATTTCCTACATAAATAAGAAATGTAACCACCACTATTCGAGTAAAAAGAACTAAACTGAAGCCTGGTAGCCTCTTGTGTCTGTTCATCCAAATAAGTCATATAAAGCGCCAACTTCCAACTTTTAGAATAGGAAGTTTGGCTCTCTGTGTTTTATTTCTTGAGCTCTAGTAAATGTGATTCTTTCTTATCTTTGAAATCTTGTGTAATTGATAGTAAGTTATTTGACTTTCTATTGGAAATTTGAACGTGCGATAATGAATGACGTTTATGGATTACCCGGCATGCAATGGAAATTTATTTCTGTTTGGCATCTTATTTTAAGTAAATTGGTTGACAGTGATTTCCTTGCATCATATTCCTTCATTTCATTTTGCTTTATTTGCCCGTTCATGTTATTTTTCTCTCTCACTTTAATTTCTATAATCTAAATCCAGGTTTGCAATGAGAGATTGTTATGCATTACTTTGGTAATCAAATATGTTCTTCATTGTTCTGTTATTAATTATTTAGTCACATGACCATTTGGCTGTTCATAGATATTGGGAAGTGAAAACCTTTTGTAGAGGAGGCTGCAGATATGAAGTTATGACTGCACAAGCTTTTGTTTGCAACTTGATTCTCCTTTTTTTAGAAATTTATCTTTGAATATATCTTTTCCTCCAGTGCTAGTCGTATTTCCATTCAGTTCCATTGGCTTTTTATTGGGTTCTTGAGGGTGGTTTTTGAGTTTTCGACACTGTACAGATGTGCTTATAGAAACATTTTAGCATGCCCCAGTTTAGGATAATGCTGAAGGATGTGTATACAGCATTTTCATTTTCTGTTTTTGTTTCTTGCGCCCAACTTCTTCATATGATCAGTTGCAAAATTTGTGTTCTAACCCAACTTGTTTAGCAGGTAAGTAATTTATTTTATGCAAGTTGTTGAATGATGTGCGGTTGTTGCAGGTAGGCCCACTGCTAAACATGGCTCTGCGTGCGCTCCGCCTCCAGCGAACTTTGAGTACCCTCTCTTCTTCGCACCGCTTCCTCTCTTCTGCTCCTGTCATTTTGCCGAATATCAAAATCTCTGCAGCCACCAAACCCGTTTCCTCACTCCTGCAATCCTCCACTGTGATTCCACAGTCCTTGATCTCCTCTTCTTGGTCAAGATGGGTCCAAGCCGCACTATACTCGTCGAAACAGTACAAGTTGTACAAAGAGGGAGATGAGATCACACCTGATACAGTCCTCTTTGAAGGATGTGATTATAATCATTGGCTCATTACTATGGACTTTCCGAAGGACAACCCGCCTTCCCATGAGGAAATGATTGCCACCTATGAACAGACCTGTGCCAAGGGTCTCAATATCAGGTCTTCGTTTTCTTCTTCTTCTTCCAAACTTTTCAACATATACGTGAACACATAATATAGTATATGGTATTTATATGCTCATATGGATATATGAGAGAAAAATGGCTGAAATGACCAGAAATGCATGGCTTGCATATCATATCAAAGTTTATTGTTTTTCTTGTAACCAGAACTGTGATATTGTTGTTTCTTTCACTTATGAGTTGGTTCATTTTATTCCTCTGCTTTATGTGGAGGCAAAAAAGGGTTGAGAATAAACTTTCAAATTGAATAGCTGATCTTTTTTTAACTGTGTGAGATCTTTTTTAGAATTATATGCAGAGGTACATGCATTTAATTTTATGTAGTTTTCTTTGCCTTGTTTACAAAATTTCCCTTTGGTAACTTAGTTCATGTCATGGCTGAAGTAGTGAATATTTTGATATTTTCTTCATGTTAGGTGCATTTTGTTATCTTTATGATGGTTTATTTTTTCAATTTTTAACATAGGTTATGGTTTTCTTTGTATTTATTTGGGTTCTTATGTGGCCTAAATGCAAATGAATGCACAGATTGGTATCTATGAGACATTATTGATTTCCCCTCTTGCTACTTGAGTTGTATGAAGATTGTTAACAGCAAATTGAATGTTGGTTTTCCATGCTTTCTGTTGCTTTCTTTGCAATGTTGTTGGAAATATTGAAGCAAGAAAAAAAGGCAAAGTATTTTACTTGGAATTTTCACATTGTTTTTTGCCCTCTATTTTATTTGGGCACTCAAAACTGGAAGTCAAGACAAAAGAAAAAAATTAGTAATCTGTTTGGTTCATTAATATACTTTCTACTTTTCATGTTCTGAATTCATGTGTTCAATTATGCTTTTATCCATAGAAGTATAGTCTGGTTGTGGAAAAATCAAGGACAAACAGAACTAGTTTTGTGAAAAACATGAAAAAGTAAAATTTTAAAAATTTCAAATTCCATTGTAACTTTCACTATCATTTCTTCATTGCTAAGTAACTTGTATGTTCTGGTTAATAAAATACATATAGATTTAGAAAATGAAAACTACCCAAGGGATCCTAATTTCTGCATCATCTAATTCTTTTGGTTTATATGTACATATATTTTGATGTTGAGATGACTACAAAACCTAAAGCAAAATCTTTTTAGTAATTTCTCATTTCTTTAAGTAAAAACGAAAAGGTTGCTTTTCCTAAAATGTATCTTCTTTGTTTTATGAAAAGTATTTCTATGTGGGGACATTTGAGTGGTATTACTAGCCTCCTAAATAGCTTAAGATTTTGTACCTCTTTGGTATGAGATAAATAGCTAAGAGCTCTTATAATGTTTTGTATTAGTGGTATAGGTGGCTTGTTCTTTTAGGAGTTTTTAAGCTACATAAAATAAGCAGTGTGGAAAAAGTAAAAGAAAAAATTACCTTAAGTAGTTTTAAAATTCTTTTATTTCCTAATTCACTGTACATTGAATTAGAGAAAAATAATGGTGGTCATTTTTGTTCAAACAATTAGACTTTTATTTCTTAAATAAGCTCATGAGGTATTTCTTAAATAAGCTCATGAGGTTATAAGTTAGTAAACATATAAGCTGTAGAGCTCTACAATCAAGAAAAAATATTTAGGCCCTGAGATAAGGTACTGTATTTTATAGGGTACAAAATGTCAGAAAAAAAGGATCTGGTACTGCAAGAGGAGGAAGAAATTTAATTTGATGGAACTGGTAAAAGCAAAATTTTCAATGGGTGTTTGCTACATGGATTGAACTTGATCAGGGCTGTTGAAGGTTCGTTTTATTGGGTTAAAGCTAAAATGTAAAATGGGTTGTAGGCTTCTTTTGGGTTTCTTGTGACGGATGAAGGGATGGAAGAGGAGAAACTATTGCTGGTCACCTTTGAAAATTTTACTTCCCTCTCACTTTTATTCATCCTTATAAAAAGTTAATGTAGTATATTTTTTCCTTTTTCCTGCAAATATCTTCTGCTTATTTGTGGCTACAAATGAGAGCATCAGTTTACTAACTGTGATTTCAAATCAATTGACTACCCCCGTTTATTTGGTTCTTTTCTTACCTAATCATCTAACAAGTTGTTTGCTATTAATTTTATTTATGTATAGATTGAATTTAAAGAATATGGCTGTGTATTAGAATTGAAGTGGACACAAGCACTTAAAATATTGTGTCTGTAACTGGGCTTTTCTGGTAAGAGTTGCTCCTATCTCTAATCATGTGTGGATTGAATTTAAAGAATATGACTATCTGTATTAGAATTTAAGCGGATTAAGCAGACACAATCACTTTAAATTTTTGCCTATAATTGGGTCTCTCTGGTAAGAGTTGCTCCTATCTTTAATCTTATTACATTTATTTATTATTATTATTCTCATTAGGTTTTCTGTGTCTATATGATATAGTTATATTATGGACTGGTTTTTGGTTTTCCTGATGCATTTTCAAAAAGAATTTTGTTCACTTCAAGGCAACTGAATTGATGAACATGGTTTTTTTTTATTTTTGTCAGAGTGGTTCTCTTTATGCCTAGCTATTGTATGTTTATCTGACTTTGATGTGATAGATATTACTCGCAAGTAGGAGGTTTGGTTTTAGCTTCCATGACAGTTAAACTATGATTTACAGCATTTAATAAAAGCAATGTTTTAGAATTCTGACCAACATTTTAGCAAAATAACTAGTGGTAATTACAAACTAATTTTAGCCATCCTGATGTTTGGTTAATCATGGTTACTTCAGTTTAGAAGAAGCGAAAAAAAGAATGTATGCTTGTAGCACAACAACTTATCAGGGCTTTCAAGCTATAATGACGGAAGAAGAATCGGAGAAGTTCAGAGGTAACAATTTGTAGCAGTTTGTCAGTCTTTATGAGAACAAATTTAAAACAGATGCTGACTTCCAGTTTGCTTTTGAGCAGATGTACCTGGGGTTGTTTTTATTCTACCGGATTCCTATATTGATCCTGTGAACAAGGAATATGGGGGTAAGAATTTTTTTTCCTTGTCAATTTCTTTCTTTCATTTTTTTTTTTGGTTGCGATTACTTGGTTATTGCTTGTACTGGGACTTTTGACTAACCAATTGACTGATTAATTTCATACCTCCAACTTTTGTGTTGTCCACATCAGGGGACAAATATGAAAATGGAGTAATTACACCAAGACCACCTCCTATTCAATATAGCAGTAGAGGTCGAATCCGCGACCGAAACAGAAATCCTGATCAATCAAGATATGACCGCCAAGGAACTTCAATGTCTAATCGCCAAGGAACTTCAATGTCTAATCGCCAAGGAAATTCTCCTTACAATCAACAGGTACCTATGCAAGGAGATGGGAGAAACTATGGCCCTCCGCAAAATTATTCACCACAGCACAATTATGGTATGCCAGGACAAGGAATTCCAATGTCTAATCGCCAAGGAAATCCTCCTTACAGTCAACAGGGACCTATGCAAGGAGATGGGAAAAATTATGGGCCTCCGCAAAATTATTCACCACAGCAGAATTATGGTATACCAGGACAAGGAGAAAGAAGGGATCACATGCCAATGAGCAATAGGGATTATGCCCCAGGAGGAAGGGACACTTATCAGACAGATAGAAGAGGTCCAATGCCTTCAAATCAGGGACATTACAACCCAGGGGGGCAAGGAAGTTACAACCCAGGGGGGCAAGGAAATTACTCGCAAGAACAAATGAACTTTCCACCAAGGGATCAAGTGAACTATTCACCACCAAGTCAGGGAGATTTTAGGGTTGGCAATAGGAATTATGCTCCAACACATGGTGGATCTTATGAGGGAGCAACAAATCCTAGTTATGGTCAGAGTTACACTGGGCATGGAGAGGGTCAAGGGTTCCCGCCAGTGGATGAGAGAAATGTGCAAGGAGAGCCAAGGAACCATGTGCCTCTGGGACAAAGAGACCAAGTAAGACATTCTCTTTTTAGTATTAATATGATCAAATAATATTTTTTTTCTATGTAAAGAATAAATAGGAGTGGTGAAGAAAATATGAATGTTTCTTTGAATTTTCGTATCATTTTAATTTATCTAGTTTCCTTGCTGAAATTAGATGGTGGGAACTGGAGAGCAAGCAGCCAACCTAGGTGTCTATGACTCAAAACTATGTTTGGTACTCTGATAAACAAATCTCAGTGAAACATGATAAATTGATAGAGAACTATTATTGAAATTGTGGGAAATGACCAGAAGTTTTTAGCTAGCTATCTGCAATATTAGGTGAGTCTTAAAGTCTTAAAGTCTTCATTGTACATTATGCTTGAAACCAAGTCATTAAACTGACATAGGGGAAGGGTATGAACATTACTGACTAAATAGCTTGTGGTGCAATTTAATGGTGCCTTAGACAATATTGATTAGCACGTGTTTGTGGTTCCGCAGGGAAGTTACTGAAAGCGTGCCAAAAATTGCTCTGAAATGATGAAGATGGATGCGTCAGCAGAAAAGTTAGGAAATCTTGTCTCTGTTATTTTTCTGTACGCAGTAGATCAGGTATAATTTTGAAGTATCTCATGGTAAATAGTTTTTCGTTTGTGTTTCAAGTTTGAAGTTGTCACTTTGTACTGTAACATTGGGTATTTTTGTGCTAAACCATTACCATCTCCATGGATGTGTTTGCATAAATTTAATCCATATTTTAGCAACTCATCTGTGATTATGGATTCAACGAGAGAAACTCTCTCCGTCCTTGAAGAAACTCAATTATGTTTGAAATCTGATCATCTTTAATGGTATTATAGAATCACTAAACTAATTGTGTTGCTAATATTTTAATTGTAAGAATTGAACATTGCACACATTTTCACACGCATGTACAATTATTGTCTTGTACAAAAAAAAAAACCCACAGCTTTAACTCTCATCTAGTCTTTCCCCTTACGTGCGTCTTCCTTGTCATCCATTGAATTGACAACGGAGCTTTGTAACAGATATATATTAGCCTTTCCATTAAAGCGATCCAAGTAGATAATTTTCCACTGCGATAGAGACAAGCTCTTCTTGTCTATTCGTCGATATGATCTTTTGGAAATATTTTTAGATAATGACAGATTTTTTATGATTATTTATACTGATTTCTGAAAAAGGGTGTTTAGAAATAATTGCGTATAATTGAAGGGTGTAAGAATTTTCAACTTATAATATCTTAGTCATTAAGAATTTATACCTGTTTGAGGAGACTAATACATATTCTGTTAATAGTAAAAATATTTTATTGAAATATTGTCATTTTAAAAATGTGATGTATATTCAGTGTAAATAACTTTAAATGTAACAACAAAAATTATTATTTGTTAAAATAAAAATTGATTAATTAAATAGTTTTTTTTTTTTATTTTTAATTTTAATATTAAGGTAGGAAATTAAATATAAAACTTTTAGTAACTCATTTTTTCTTCATTCTCCAAATATCTTCGAGCTTTATTGGCTGTACATTTAATTTAAAAATATACTTTAGATAAATTGAAGTATCTCATTACATCTTTAAAGTCACTGCATGTTTTTCAACAAGTATGATTTTATTTATTAATTATTTAAATGATTTCACAATTTCCATAATAGATAGGAGAAAGGGTAGAGCTGAGAGGATAAAAAAAAGAATAATTTTAGAGAGGAAAAGATGAGTTTTTCCATTCTTCTGAAAATCTGAAGTATTACATATAGCAGTACAAGAGAAAATAAAAGAAAAAAAAAAAAACATAACAGAGTAAGCATTCTGTTGGAGTACAGATTATACAGATGATAATATGTCAATGTAGTGAAAAATGCATTCTGTCTACAGAATCAATGGAAGGTTTTTTTTTTTGAATATTCATGGTTTATCTTTAGTATACAATCAAGAAAATGAGTATATATATATATATAGCTTTGAGACATGTTGTATTCTAAAAATATTAAAGGGAAAAAAATTAGACGAGGGATGAATCCTAAGCAATTAATCTATGCAATTGATTTAACCTTTGAAGTTAATATAATTTTCTAATAAAAATATACATTTTTATCAATTAAATGATATGCAATATCTACTATAAAACAACTTTCTATTGAGAATACATAAGAACACAAAGACAACAACTATTCAACCAAAAACTTACTTAAGAAAAAAAAAAAAAAAAATTTATAACTCGATAACTCTCAAAAAGGCAAACCATTTCCAAAGAAAGACCTCCATCATTCTTATTGTTAGAGACGTAGAGTCACCATTCTATTTCTACCACAGTGGTGCTATCATGCCTTTCAACACAATACCTCCAAGAATCTCCCATGGATGAAGATAACCACAGCAATTAAAATCAAAACAATATGTAGCTTACTAAATTTTCATCCTTGGCATTCTAGAATCTACACTTCAGTTTGTACCCACATTAGAACTAAAAGCTAAAAACATATATTTTCTTCCAAGGAACAATTTATCCTACAACTAATTTATTCTCTCTAGTTTTATTTAGATAAAAATAAAAAAAATAATAACTTCGACCCGCATGAACTGACCCTAAATCTAATCTCAAATGCTGCTTTTGGAAACCAAAGTCCTCAAGACAACAACTAATCAGTGTGATCGGCAATCAGAATAAGAGAAGGGCATTCAAAAGGAACCAAATACCATCTGGCTTTGGTTTCTACCAGCTAAAGAAAACATGGTCACGAAAACAGAATTTTTTAAAGGAAATGAAGACCTTGCTTGAAACACAGATGGCATTTTTTCCAATCTGAACCCACCAACAATAAATAAGAGGTCAGGAGGTCCAAACAGAAACCAGGTAAGAAAGTCTTTCTACAACAGATGATCCTAGTACATTGAGTATTCATCATGATTACTTTTTTTCACATCACCTAGTACTAAAGTTTGATCAACATTAGAAATACAGCTTCTCACCATGGCACAGCGAGAAGCCGGCCAACAGTTATAATTAACACACATATATTGCTACCATTAAAAACGTTAGTGATTACAAACCATTTAGAAAGCAAATGAGATTGGTGTCATCATATCAGTGGTTACCATCATCAGAGTAGTCATGTCTATCGGTAGTAAGCCTGCTGATAAGCTGGTGCCAGACCATTGCCATAGCCTCCGTATGCGGGATAATTCATGGGTGAGACAGGATATGATCCAGCAAGGGGAGGAGCTGCAGCAGCCTCCGGCGAGTAAGCATAGGGATTGGCTGGTGGACTCCTGCTGCCATATACATGGGGTGGGGATGGGTATGGTGGGATGGCAGAAGTGTATTGAGTGTGAGAGGGCGACCTAACAAAGGTAGGAGGCGCAGGGAAAGATGACACGTATGCATTTGTCAAACGACCAGCTTTGGCCGGGGGCATTGGACCACAAGTGCTTGCACGTGTACGCTTGTTGGCAGGAACTGCAGCTGGCCTTTTCTTCTCCACCTTTGCCTTCTCTAACTGCTCCAGGCGCTTCTTGAGGTTCTCTGGGGGAAATTCAGCCTCAAGCTTGTACTCTTCAATGCACTTTATAACAGCCTTGAGTGCTGATTGTTCTTTGCGTACTGCAAGATGCTGAAAAAGTGAAAACAAAAACATTGCCAGTTAGTAGAAGATTTTCAACATTTAAATCTCACACACATGTAAAACAAGAAAATTCTGGGTCCAAGAGCCTTCTTTGTCGAATTAGTCAAAGTATGCCACACAAATTATAGAAATACTTGCAACCCTTTGCTTTCGTGAATGCTTTAGTGCTGCGCCTCATATTGTTATTCACCGCTGACTAGGAGATAATAAGAAACAGAAAGTTCAGATAGTTTTGAAGCATATTTTCAACCACTTGTAACGCAGATCAATAATCAGTTATTTGTCATTTTTTTTTAAATAAGAACATAATCAGTTATTAGTCATTGTCCAAGAATGCACTGGACCTAAACAGATATGCAACTGCAGCAACAAGAATAGGATATTTGTTGCCCAGAGAAAAGGTACTACCAAGATATGACACCTAGTATCTAATCAGGAACAAAATAGTCCAGGTCCTGGCCATCACTTCCATAGAAAACAGCAAAAATATTTGTTCATGGTGGATGAGAGAAGATATACCGCAGCACGGCCAGTATTATTGGGATCCTCCAAAATAGAAGCTGCAGCCTTCTTTGCATCCCTCAAAAAGGCTTTCAGAAGAGGAACAGGGGGGAATTTGTCGACAAGGCCTACTTCATAAGTAAAATGCACTGCATCAAGCTGCTGTCCCCTACTTATTAATTCCCCAATCATATCTGCACAAGGTAAGAACTTAAAAGCATTAGAAAGTCACAGTAGCAACTCGAATTTAATAAAATAACTTTGAGTGAAGTTGTGACTCATGAATTAGACTTTAGGAAGTGATGGATCATCACATAGGATTCACTACCCAAATGCATTCACTTCAATTTTACATATAACTAAGACAATAATCTAGTTTTAACCAGGAGATTGATCATCATGGTGGCATTTGAATGCTATCAGCCTGTTGGTCGCAAGACAAGGGTACCAAGAACTTGGTCGTCACTTTTTGCCAATATATCTCTCGGGATTAACTGCAGCAACCAAAATGCCAACAATTTCCATCAGGTACAATCTCTATGTGCCAGCCTTTTTTTATCCTTTTTTTCTTGTTTTCTCCATGTAGCTATCTAAGTAATTGAGGGATCAGCAGTAACCTTTACCAAAAAAAGAAAACTAAAACAAACGGGGATTAACTATTTCATACTAGCAACAAAATCAAGCAAGTTGAAGGAAATAGTAGATTGCTCCGACTGAATCCTCAACAAGAAGCAAACTTTAGGACATATGAAGGACCGCCAACTGCCAAAATGTCTAAGCTTACATAAGATGAATGCCGCCCAACAATAACCAAATATTTGTCTAACATCTATTTTTTTCTCTCTCATAAGTTTCAAGTGATTTGGCCATGATCGTCTGCTCTCTCGCATGCGCCAAAAACATACTCTTAACTACTACACTGAGGACTGAGTTCATGCAATACCAGATATAGATTCATAAACCTAAAGTAAAGCATAAGTATGCTTTAGCAAATTAACCACGCAGGCTATTTCACTTTCCAAACCCTCAGGTTCCGAAGTCAGACATCCATTTCACTGAGAAACCTCGTCCTTGCAAACTAAAAGCTACAAATCTCCAATTTGCTACTTGTACAGAGGAAGGTTGACACACACTTTCGCTGCCAAGTTTCATCTCAAGCTACTCAACACTGCGGGAACAAGTCAGGACTGAATAAAAACTGATCTCAGAAAGGAATTCTCAGTAATTTTTTTAAGGAGAGAGAGAGAGAGAGACAGAGAGAGAGAGAGAGAGGAGAGAGAGAGAGAGAGAGACAGAGAGAACTTCGACTGAAAAGTGAAAAATGCATAAATGGAGAAGCTGCCAAACTCCAAGCGCAGCCATAAATACAAGAATTTAAAAAAATAAAAAATAGAAAAAAAAAAACAGCCCCCAAGAAAGAATTGAAAATAAGAATAAAATGGTTAAGAAAAATACCAGGCATTTTATCACCCAAACCAAGGGAAACGGCAAGCTTAGGCATCTGCTTGCGCCAAGCGGAGCCGACCACAAGTTTCCTATACAAATCAAGATCCTCCTCCTTCACAATCCCAAAGGTGACCAAATGCTGAAGGAAAGTGTGCACATCTGGAGTCTTAACGTTTTCTATCCCTCCCCTCTCCTCCAAGCTGGCCTTCCACGTCTCTGCAAACTCCTTTGCCTTCTCCTTGACGCTGCGGGTCACCAGCAGCCTCGACTTCCCGATCAACGGATCCACCACCACCGGAATCAAGCTCTCCAACAGCACTACGCAGGCCCATCCCAAATCATTCCCTCTCTCAGTTGTCCCCACCCTTTTATCAACCGGAAACACCTCAGATATTGCCTCCAAAACGAACTTGGCCGGATCCACGCACTCCGACAGGGCTACCGGGATTTTTGCTCGAAGTAGGTCCAGCTCCTTCTTCCTCACCGTCACGAACCTCCAGAAGTCTTTTGCTTCCATTTTCAGGCAGAAGGACTTGAGAGCACACAGTAGTCCGTCGCTGTCGTCAACCTCGCCGTCGGGATTGGAAACGAAGTCCTGCTGCCGGAGGGACTTCAGTGCCGCAACGGTATGCTCGTCTACCTTCTCGAGGGCGATCTCAACACTTCCGTCGATGGTGACCTCGCGCTTCTTGAGGGAGTCGAGTGATGCCTTGGTCTGGTGATCTAGCGTTTGTATTTTGTGCTTCAAGGCCTCGGATTTCTTCATGAGGTTCTGCTCGAGCGAAGTGAAGTGATCAGACAGCTCCCTCCACAGCAGGGTGCAGCTTGTCATCAACGAGGTTTGCCTCTGGAACTCGTCGAAGCTCGGCTGAGTCAACTCGGTTAACTCGCCGGGATCGGGGATCGACCCCATGGCTGGATTGGTTGGTGGGTTGGTAACAGCCTCTTGGTTGGTTGCACCGTACGTCTAACTGTATATCCTAGAAAAAGGAGAGAGAAATTTCAAACCCTAGAAATGGATGCAGAGAGATGAAGATAAAGCTAGGATGCGAGGGAGGGGGGAAAAAACAAAAAAAAGCAGAATGCTGAGGTGGATGGTTCTTTGTGGTGACACGTGTAATGGCGACTGAGAGCAAATAGTATTGGATATTTTTAGAATGCACGGGGGTTGCGCAGGATAAGATGAGTTAGTGAAAAAAGAGTTAATTGGTAGAAGGGCGTGTTTGGATGAAACTTAAACGAGAGAAGCTTACTTTCCCAGAAACCGAAGTGAGATCGTAACCCCCCAAAAAAAAAAAAAAATTGAAAGCAAAGCAGATGAGATAAGAAAAGGTGATTGTGGGGGGTGGGTGGTGGGCCAGGCCCACTGACCACCACATGGGAAGAGTCAGGTAAAGTAAAGACATTGCCGGGGTATATGTATATATACACATATACATATACATATACATATACATATACATATAACTCCTGAAATACATAAAAAAAAAAAAAAAAGTAGTGTAGAGTAGTAGGAAATACACAAGTGAAACCAAACAGGCACGCGGGTCCAACTGTATTAAAGCCAACCGCTTAAAAAAGAATTACAACTGTCCGTAAGAATGTTGGACACGTGAGCAGTGGGGCCCAGTGATGATGTTGGAATGTTGGAGAGCCAAAAATATTCAAAACCAAAAATTTAATTTAATCTAACTTTCAATATAAATTTTTAATCCCTCTAATAATTGTATCCACGTTGGCTTAATAATTTATAATAATAATAATTATTTATATTGTCCTCAAATATATAATTTTTTTTTTTTTACAAAATTTAATTAAAAATTCTAATATTTTAATTAATATATTATTCAACTATTTTAATCAGTATTTTTACACATTAGAGTATAAATTTAGAATATTATGTGATAGTATTAGTCATGTTGTTACTGTAAATTTAAATTAAATTGTATTTTTTTTAATATGTTTTTATTAAAAAAGTTATAATTATTATTTGAAACGTATGATCATTAAAATATATAAATTTTTATTTAATAAAAATTTATTAAAGGTACTAAAAAATTATGTAAATTAAATATTTGAAAGAGAATAGCTTATTATTTTATAGACAGTACTTTGTATAACATAATTATTGCTGATTGTTCCTTCATTAAATCAAATCAAAGTTTTCAGTCTAAGAAATAGTAAGTTTTGAAATAAATCATTTACTTTTATTGAAAAAATGTTTGATAAAAGTACAGTAAAATATCTATTTATCGTTTATATATATATATATATTAAAAAAAAAGAAAACCTATTATAAAAGTAATTATGTTATTATACTTAATTATGATACCAACTGGTACAATACACTAAACAAGCTGTACTTAATTTTGTGAGTGAATAATAATAATAGTAAGTAATTATTAATTACACTTTTAGGTTGGAAGGGATATATGCCAGCATTTGAGTAAGTTGTAATACCCAGTGCCAGCAAGCGGGCTGGCGTACATTCTTCCAAAACTCCTCACATTTTTACTTACTAGGAGAAATATTTTTAATATAATTAATCCCAATATTTATAATTTTCTTTTAAAAATATTACATGTATAAAAATTAACAAACATCTTCATTAATCTTATTAGTCAGCATAAATCATATTTCAAATATATATTTTTTTAGATTTTTAGTTGAAGCTACACTTCAGAAATCCAAGTCATTTCTAACTTTAAAATAAATATCATAGAATTATATAATTGAGCATCTTTCACTTTTTTTTTTTTATAATCATTTTAACAAATATAAAC